CTCTGATTAGAAAGAAGGCTTCGTCGCCTTGGGGACGCGAGTATTGGCTAATTATCTAGACAGTTTGGCTTTGGGGATGCGGAAGCAGTGCAATGTACAAGGGTCTATGACTTCGGGAACGCGAGTATGGGGTATTTTACAAAAGGGTTTATGGCCTCGGGGCGCGATCCTCAAGTATTTTTACATGTCCCGCGCCCTCCCAAGAAATTTGGGAACCCCGGGGGTGGACGCGAATCAAGCTGCTTATCGGTTCCCCCCCCTCGCGTGGACCTCGATCATTTACAGTAGGAAGCAGAACGTAGAACTATCAGAAAGGACAGTGGATGCTGGAGCAGGCAGCAGCAAACCTGATCCTCGCAGCTTGATGGCCCCGCAAGGCGGCTGGCGGATTTTGCACCACATAGATTGCACCACGGCGATTGCACCGCATAGATTCTCTTTTCTTAAAGGAGACAAAAATACTCTACCCCCCCGGACTTAACGCTTCTCCCTGGGATCGTATAGTTTCATATATATTCTGCACACTCGTCCATCCTAAATATGAAATCGTACCATCCCAGGCAGGCTGGTTTCCCCCCCTTGAGGGTCATTTTTTTTGTTTTGTTTTTTCTTTTTTCTTATATATATAAACACTATGCGGTGACATTTTTGGTTCTAACATAGCATTTTTTCACGAATCCGTTGCAACAAATGAGACGAAGTGCACATGCGCGCGTCGTCGCGCGCGCATGCCGAAATCCTTCAAAAACCTTCGGTGCCGGAAGGATTTCGCAATCGAGTTTCCAAAAAACAAACAAAACACATGGTTTTGCAACATTGATTTGCTAAAAAAGCTTCCGCGCGAGCTCTTGCAAAATCTTAAGAAAACCATCGGTTTTCAAGATTTTCACAACATGCTACCAAACGGGCTTCGCGCGCGCGCATGTCGAAATCTGTCGAACGCCCTTGCGCGTGTGCCGTCGCGAGAATCCTCTGCAAAACATGGGGCGAAGTGCAGACGCGCGCGTGGTCGCGCGCGTACGCCGAAATCCTTCAAAACCCATCGGTTTCGGAAGGATTTCGAAATCGCGCGTCCAAAAAACCTACAAAAACCCAAGGTTTCGCAACACGGATTTTCAACAAAAGCGTGCGCGCGCGCTCTTGCGTCGTCGTCGTCGTCGTCGTCGTCGCCGCCGTCCTCCCTCCTCCCGCGTCGTTGTCGTCGTCGTCGTCGTCGCCTACGTCGTCCTCTGTCTTTCCTCGTGTTCGTCGTCGTCGTCCTCTTTGGCGTCGTGGTCGTTTCCGTCGTCGTTGTCGCCGTGGTCGTCCTTCCTCCTCCTCCCTCGTCGTCGTCGTCGTCCGTCGTCGGCGTCTCGTCGTCGTTCCTCCTATTTCGTCGCCGTCGTCGTCGTCGTCGTCGTCGTCGTCGTCGTCGTTGTCGTCGTCGTCGTCTTCCCTCCTCCCTCGTCGTTGCCGTCGTCGGCGTCGCCGTCCTTCCTCCCTCATCGTCTTTCGCGTCGTCGCCGTCCTCCCTCCTCCCTGTCGTTGTCGTCGTTGTCGCCGTTGTCGCCGTCGTCGTCCTCCCTCCTCCCTCGTCGTCGTCTTCGTTGGCGACGTCGTCGTCGTCTTCGTCGTCGTCGTCGTCGGCGTCGGCGTCGTGGTCGTCGTCTTCGTCGTCGTTGTCGGCGTCGTCGTCGTCGCCGCCGTCGTCGTCGACGTCGTCGTCGTCGGCGTCGTTGACGTCGTCGTCGTCGTCGTCGGCGTCGTCGTTGTCGTCGTCGTCGGCGACGTCGTCGTCGTCTTCGTCGTCGTCGTCGGCGTCGGCGTCGTGTCGTCGTCTTCGTCGTCGTTGTCGGCGTCGTCGTCGTCGCCGCCGTCGCGTCGTCGTCGTCGTCGTCGTCGTCGTCGGCGTCCGTTCGACGTCGTCGTCGTCGTCGTCGGCGTCGTCGTTTGTCGTCGTGTCGTCGTCGTCGGCGTCGGCATCGCGTCGTCGTCGTCGTCGGTGGTCGTCGTCGTCGTCGTCGTCGTCGTCGTCGTTGTCGGCGTCGTCGAAGTCGTTGGAGGCGTCGTCGGTGTCGTCGTAGTCGTTGTCGGCGGCGTCGTCGTCGTCGTTGTCGCTGTCGTCGTCGGCGTCGCTGTCGTTGGCAAGTGCCATTTGGTACCCACCGTCACGGTCTTAAGAGATTTTGCGAACCAAGTTGCGGGTGGGTGGGTGGGATGTTCGCGCGAGCAATGGAGTGGTCAAGCGCGGTGCGGTCAATTGCACCACATATACTGCGCCATATCATGTCTCCTTTCTAAAAAGAGAATAGACTCTACCCCCCCCCCCTGGCGTTATCCGTACCCCCCCCCCTGGCGGACACCGACGGGACACCAGCGGGACACCGGCGGGACACCGCGCCCCACCAGCCCCTGGAAAAGAAACATTTGGTCCGGCCGCGCCTCAGCCGGAGGCGGGGCACCGGCAGGACACCGCGCTCCACCGGCCCCCGGAAAGGAAACATTTGGTCTGGCCGCGCCTCAGCCGGAGGAGACTTTCTTCTCGCCCGCCCACGCAGTTTCGCCTCGCCCGCACGCACGGCACGCACGAACACGAAACCGAAACCGGTTTCCCGGTAGGGGGGCTCTCCGTTCCACTTCGATCTCACCCCCTCACCTCCGATCTATACATATATATATATATATATATATATATTGCCCAGTACCTAAACACATATTCGTGTATATATATGTATATGTATATGTATATGTATATGTATGTGTATCTGTATATATATATGTATGTATGTATGTATGTATGTATGTATGTATGTATGTATGTATGTATGTATGTATGTATGTATGTGTGTGTATGTATGTATGTATCTTTATATGAATATCTATGAATATACATATATATACACATGTTTTGCGCCACACATGCGGCACTACACAGGCTGCGCCACGCAGATTGCTTCACGGAGATTGCACAACACATATTCCAGAACATGGGTTGCACGACACATATCCCGCAGCAAACACGGCCCCCTTCTAAAATCAGAATAGGATCACCCCCCCCCCCGGCGTTATCACTCCCCCCTTTCGGGTATGGAAATCCTATATGATTCTGACCACATGTCCATCCTAAATATGAATTTACACTATCCCCGTGGGGCCGGTATCGACCCCCCTGAGGTTCTCTTGTAAACAACGATACGCGGGGACATCTTTTGTTCTAGCATAGCACTTTTTTTCACAAATCCCTTGCAAAAAATTGGACGAAGTGCACACGCGCGCGCCGTCGCGCGCGCATGCCGAAATCCTTCAAAAACCTTCGGTGCCAGAAGGATTTCGCAATCGAGTTTCCAAAAGACATACAAACACACAGGGTTTCGCAACACTGATTTGCTAAAAAAGCTTCCGCGCGAGCTCTTGCGAAATCTTAAGAAAACCATAGGTTTTCCAATATTTTCACAACATGCTACCAAACGGGCTTCGCGCGCGCATGTCGAAATCTGTCGGACGCCCTTGCGCGTGTGCCGTTGCGAGAATCCTCTGCAAAAAACGGGACCAAGTGCAGACGCGCGCGTCGTCGCGCGCGCGTATGCCGAAATCCTTCAAAACCCATCGGCTTCGGAAGGATTTCAACATCGTGTGTCCAAAAAACCTACAAAAACACAACGTTTCGCAACACGGACTTTCAACAAAAACGTGCGCGCGCGCTCTTGCGTCGTCGTCGTCGTCGTCGTCGTCGTCGCCGTCCTCCCTCCTCCCGCGTCGTCGTCGTCGTCGCCTACGTCGTCTCTGTCTTTCCTCGTGTTCGTCGTCGTCGTCCTCTTTGGCGTCGTGGTCGTTTCCGTCGTCGTTGTCGCCGTGGTCGTCCTTCCTCCTCCTCCCTCGTCGTCGTCGTCGTCCGTCGTCGGCGTCTCGTCGTCGTCCCTCCTACTTCGTCGCCGTCGTCGTCCCGTCGTCGTCGTCGTCGTCGTCGGTCTCGTTTCGTCGTCGTCGTCGTCTTCCCTCCTCCCTCGTCGTTGTCGTCGTCGGCGTCGCCGTCCTTCCTCCTTCTTCGTCGTTCGCGTCGTCTCCGTCCTCCCTCCTCCATCGTCGTTGTCGTCGTTGTCGTCGTCGTGTCGCCGCGTCCGTCCTCCCTCCTCCCTCGTCGTCGTCTTCGTTGGCGTCGTCGTCGTCGTCTTCGTCGTCGTCGTCGTAGGCGTCGGCGTCGTGGTCGTCGTCTTCGTCGACGTCGACGTCGCGTCTCGTCGTCGTCCGTCGTCGTCGTCGTCGTCATCGTCGTCGCCGGCATCGTTGCGTCGTCCGTCGTCGTTCGTCGGGTCGTCGTTGTCGTCGTCGTCGGCGTCGTCATCGTCGTCGTTGTCATCGTCGTCGTCGTCGTCGTCGCGTCGGCGTCGTCGTCGTCGGTGTCGTCGTCGTCGTCGTCGTCGTCGTCGTCGTCGTCGTTGTCGGCGTCGTCGAAGTCGTAGGAGACGTCGTCGGTGTCGTCGTAGTCGTTGTCGGCGGCGTCGTCGTCGTTGTTGTCGCTGTCGTCGTCGGCGTCGCTGTCGCTGCCAAGGGCCATTCGGTACCCACCGTCACGGTCTTAAGAGATTTTGCAGACCAAGTTGCGGGTGGGTGGGTGGGATATTTGCGCGAGCAGTAGACTGGACAACTCTGTGCGAACAGAGATTAATTGCACCACATATGTTGTTCCGCATAGATTGCACAACGCACCCTGCTGGCGAATTTTTGTTTATGGATTCAGAACGCAGAGCCGGGCTTCTTGTTGTGGTCTCCTTTTTGATAAGTTTCGCAGGAACGGGAGCGTTATCTTAACTGCGTGGTGGCTAAGTTGCAGGAGGCTGAATGATATTGCTCCTCCACGGCGACCAGAAACAGGGGAGGAACGCTAACACGCACAAGCTAGATGCTACGAACCCTGCCCCTGTCAGCCTGTTGTGCCCCGCAAGGGGCTGGTGGACAATCCCAAGTTGTATAACCCTCCTGCTAAGGTGGAGCTGTCAGAGCAGGGCGCCATCGAGAGGGACATGTCCTTCGTGCAGATTTCGGAGCACGTGCAGCGCAGGAGCACAGTGGAGCCGCCGCCAGAGACTTGGGGTGCGTACGCCACAAAGACGGAAGAGAGCAGCGGCGTTATCGCCATGATAGATTTGCTGGTGAAGGATCTTGACACCGAGCTCACGGAGGCCTCAACCGAAGAGAAGAACTCGCAGGAGGAGTATGACAAGACTGTAGCCGATGCGAAGGCCGAGCGCGTGGGGCTGTCCAAGTCACTCCAGGACAAGGGCGCAGCCAAGGCCGACAACGCTGCCGATTTAGAGGTGCTCAAGGCTACCAAGAAATCTACGGCGGCGGAGCTGATGGCCACGGACAAGTTCTTGGGTGGCCTCCACGCGGAGTGCGACTGGCTCCTGAAGTACTACACGGTGCGCCAGGACGCGCGCAGCGGGGAGATCGATGCGCTGGGCAAGGCGAAAGCCGTGCTCAGCGGAGCGAGCTACGAGTAGTTGGCGGGTTTGCGATACCTCAGCGCGCTTGCCTTGCCAGGTCCAGTCTAGTATGTTGCTGTCCAGCATGGTCTATCACCACGGTCAATCTCATCATCGTCATCGTCGCCATCGCCGACACGCTTCAATCCTTGTCGCTTCGGGTATCCCCACTAGCCCATCCAGCAACGATGCCCAGGCAAGTTGCATTGACCACGGAAGTGGGGGAGCATGCAGTGGAACAAAGAGTGGGAAGCCGTCAAACCGCAATCCGGGGTCTGTTTGAGCAGGCCCGGCGTCAATGGGAACAGTTGACCCGTCCCAGTCGCGTGATACGCAGACTGCGTTACACATCTAGCAAAGCATAGCCATTCAGCGTACTACGACAGACACAGTGGGACGGAGCATGGCGAAGCACAGCGTCCACAGGAACATAGCACAAGCACAAGCGCAGACATCTTCCACTGGACAGTGATGGTAACCCTAGCCTGCACGGCAGGCCATCACAGCTCGGCGCAGCGTTGTGCAGCATAGCGCCGCTTGGCATATGATCCGCGCTATGTCCGGGTACACACGTATATGTATATTTGTATGCAATGTACTGTAATGTCATGTCATGTCATGGCATGCCATGCCATGTCGTGCAATGGAATGTAAGGCGATGTAGTGCAATGTAATGTAATTCAAAGGTAATGCGCTGTAGTGTAGTGTAATACATTGTAATGCCGTGCCAAGTAATGTACTGTAATGCCGTGCGCTGTAATGTAATGTAATGTAGTGTAGTGTGTTGTAGTGTCATGCAATATAGGGTCGGGTAGTGTAGTGCAGTGTAGTGTAATGTGATACAATACACTGTAACGCAATGATATGTAATGTATTGTGATGCAGTGTAGTGCAATGTAATGCAAGGTATGCACGTATGCATGTATGCATGCATGCATGTAGGCATGTATGTAGGTACGTCTGTATTCATGTATGTTTAGATACGTAGCACCCCGCAGATGCGGATAAGAGTGAGGGGGCGGTGGGGACGTTGGCAGTCTGCGAGACTCTGGAGAAGCCCACCGTAGGCGCCGCTTTTTTCTTCAAACCAATGTGGATCGGTCGCGGGTGGGTCGCGGGTGGGTCGCGGGTGGGTCGCGATTGGGTCGCGGGGTGGGTCGCGGGTGGGTCGCAAGTGGGTCGCGGGTGCGTCGCGTGTGAGTCGCGGAAGGGTCGCGGGGTGGGTGTCGGGTGGGTCGCGGGGTGGGTCGCGGATGGGTCGCGGGTGGGTCGCGGGTGGGTCGCGGGGTGGGTCGCGGGTGGGTCGCGGGTTGGGTCGCGGGTCGTGTGGGTCGCGGGGTGGGTCGCGGGGTGGGTCGCCGGGGGGGTCGCGGGAGGGACGACAACAACAACAAACAAAAACAACAACACCAACAACAGCAATTCAACAAGCAGAATCCTTACCACGGACTCTCATTTCAGCCACGCACCCAGGGCAGGGACAATGAATGACCGTTCGGCCCCCTCACACTGATATGGTTGTCCTCGAATGTGATGTGATGTATTGTACTGTGCTGTACGGAGCTGTGTTGCAGCGTACTGTACTGTTACATGAGTTACGCATGCATGCACGCATGTATGTATGTATGTCTAGATGTATGTAATGCAAGTAATGCAATGTAATGCACAGTTGACCCGCATAGTAATGATGGGCAACCTTCCCACTTGTACCCTCGCATCCTTGCCTCCTCGGTCCATCCTTGGCCACTTTCGTTGGCCGCGCCCCACTCGAAAAGCTCCGAAATGGGCGCCCAAGGCCCTTGCATCCTTATCGCGCATCCTTAGCATACGCGCCGACTGTACTGTAATGCAAGGTAATGTATTTTAAGGTAAGGTAAGGTAATCTAATGCATGGCCGCGTAACATGGTGTAATGTAATGTTTTGTGATGTAATGCATTGTAGTGTACTGCAATGTGATGCTGTTTAATGCAGTGTAATGTGACGTAATGTAGTGTAATGCAGTGACATGTAATGTAACTTAGTGTAATGCAGTGCCATGTAATGTACTGTAAGGTAGTGTAGTGTAGTGTAGTGTAATCTCATGCCGTGTAATGTACTGCAACGTAATGTAGTGTAGTGTAACGCAGTGTAGTGCAATTTGAATGTAATGCAATGTAATGTAGACGCCGCGCCCTTGCTCTCGCTCTGGCCCTTCTCAACGATTTACTTGAGTATCGCGCTATCGCTCGAGAGTTCCTCGCGGTTCATGCAGGACTCACGCTTCAGCAGCTCGCCTGCTCGACCTGGCCGTTTGGGCCCGCCTTCCAGACCCGCCCGTCAGGGTCTACCCTCCCGATCTGCACGTCTGGTTCTGCCACATGCTTTCTGCTCCTAGCCTTTCTCCTGCCAATCTCTCTCGTCCTCCATGTTTCTCCCTCTCCCATCCATCCGTCCTCTCTTCCCATGTTCTAGGGGCTGCGCTAAATACACGTGGCAGGTAAAGAAGATATACCCCCAAGGGGGTGCGATCGAAGACGAAGAGAGCGGGTACCAAGGGTTTGGGATATACGCGAGCAGATAGGAGCGAGCAGTCCTAAAATGATTGTTGGTGGAGTGACACTTCTAAGTAATCATTATTGTTGATCCCCTCTGCCCGGTAACCATTATAGTTTTTCGATTTCAGTGCTTTTCCCGGGGCTCGCACCCGGTTTTTTACTAGGGAAATCGAGTGTCACCAAGCTGGGCCCGTAGCCCCCGAGTTACAACAACCACGGCTCCCGCCAGATGTTTGCGCTTTCCCGACCCGCCCGTTGCGGTCTACCCTCCCGATCTGCTCGTGTGGTTCTGCCACATGTTTTCTGCTCCTAGCCCCCTCCTGCTAATATCTCTCGTCCTCCATGTTCTTCCCTCCCCTATCCATTCGTCCTCTTCCCCTACCTTAGGGGCTGCGCTAAATACACGTGGCAGGTAAGGATCATATACCCCCAAGGGAATGCGATCGAAGACAAAGAGGGCGGGTACCGAGGGTTTGGGATACACGCGACCAGATAGGAGCGAGCAGTCTTAAAATGATTGTTGGTGGAGTCTCATTTCTAAGGATTCCCCAATCAGAGCTTGCCTCTGTCGGGGTCCTAGCGGATTCATATGGTTAGGTGAGGTTCGTCGCCGATTTCGGTGGCCGGCCCGGGTGCCCGGGTGCCCGGGTTCCCAGGTGCTTGGGTGCCCAGGTGCCCAGTAGCCCTATAGCCCTATAGCCCTATAGCCTTATAGCTTCATAGTCCTATAGCCCTATAGCCCTATAGCCCTATAGCCCCATAGCCCTATAGCCCTATAGCCCTAGCCTATAGCCCTATAGCCCCGTAGCCCTATAGCCCTATAGCCCTATAGCCCTGATAGCCCTATAACCTTATAGCCCTATAGCCCTATAGCCCTATAGCCCTATAGCCCTATAGCCCTACAGCCCCGTAGCCCTATAGCCCTATAGCTCTATAGCCCTATAGCCCTATAGCCCCATAGCCTTATATCCCTATAGCCCTATAGCCCCATTACCCTATAGCCTTGAAAATATTCTTATCGTGGTTTTCCTCTGGTCTCATTAACTATTGTTGATCCCCTCTGCCTGGTAACCATTCTAGTTTTTTGATTACCGTGCTTCTCCCGGGGCTCGCACCCTGGTTTTTACCAGGGAAAGCGAGGTGTCACCAAACTGGTCCCGTAGCCCCCGAGTTACAGCGACAACGGCTCCGGCCTGATTTTTCCGCCTTCCCGACCCGCCAGTTACGGTCTACCCCCCCGATCTGCTCGTGTGGTTCTGCCACATGTTTTCTGTTCCTAGCCCCCCCTCCTGAAGTGCTCTATCCTCCTCGCTCCCCCTTGTCCCTTCCTTCCATCAGTCCTCTCTTCCCCCGCCTTAGGGGCTGCACGGAATACACAAAGATATGTACCCCAAGGGGGTACGGTCGAGGACGAAGAGGGCGAGTGTCCAGGGTTTTGGAAACACATGTTGATTGCCACGCACGCGTATAAGAGCGAACCGTCTTAAAATGGTTGTTGCTGTTGTTGCTGTTGTTGCTGTTGTTGCTGTTGTTGCTGCTATTGTCGTGGTTGTTTTTGTTGTTGTTGCTGCTGTTGTCGTTGTCGTTGTCGATGCCGTTGCTGTTGTTGTTATTGTTGTTGTTGTTGTTGCTGCTGCTGTTGTTGTTGTTGTTGTTGTTGTTGTTGTTGTGGTTGTTGTTGTTGTTGAATTCCCATTTCTAAAGAATATGGTAGATCCCCCTTGGATAATCATCCCCCTTTGGTAACCATCATATTAGAAGGGGAAGCGAGGTGCCAACAAACTGGGCCCCCTAGCCCCTGAGTTACAACAACAGCGGCTCCTGCTTGATACTTCCTCGCAATTTATTTCAAATCCGCGCTTTCGCTCGGGCATTCCTCATACTTTATGCAGGGATCGCGCTCTCGCGTGGGACTTCCTCGCAATTTATTGAAGCGTCGCGCCTCCAACCCTTAGGAATGATGCTGTTGCTCTGGCCTTTCTCACGATTGATTTGGGAATCGCGCTATCGCTCGAGACTTCCTCGCGATCGATGCTCACGCTTCGGCAACCCGCCTGCTCGACCTGGCCGCCTGGGC